AATAAGGGAGATCGTAGAGGTGAGAAAAACACCATGGAACTAAAGAGATGTGCGAGTTACCCTAGATGTTAAACCTTGGTGTCTCTGTTTCCAGGTGATGGACGGTCGTAAGCCGACAGGAGGGCGAGTCGAGGTGAAGGTCCGGCTGCGGGAGCCCCTGAGCGGACAGGACATGCAATCGAGCACCGAGCGATGGCTGGTGATCGACTCGTCACAGGTAGCGTTTTGATATACGGTTCTGCAGCATTGGAATCTCAATAGACGAAGCTAAGGTTGAATAAAAACATCTCACTTTTTATCTCCCAGGTTCTGGTTTAGATGCTGCTGCGAGTTAAGGACGGTTCACAAGATAAAGGTAGAAGGAAATTGTCTTTTTCTTAGAGTTAGATGACATGATGTTACCACCATAGCACATGAGAGTAGTGTTGATCTGAACCTGACAAGAAGTGAACAATTCTGTGTTTAAATGCATTTATTCACCCGACTGATAATTCCTCTGTCTGCAGATTAAAGGCACTCAATCAGAAACACTCGGAGGAGGATGGAGTTCAGGAAGTGATGAGGACGGTCTGCTCTTCAGAGGCGACTCGGAGCTACACGGGTCTCTGAATTTAGAACACTTTTGCACCTTTGCGAGACAGGAGAGCTCCGCCTGCGCTTCAGAGGAGGCGACGGTTTACGCGAGGTCAGTGTGACGCTCGCTGATGGACAAAAAGCACTTGTTGTTCCCCTGCTTTGTTTCATTGCTGCTGATTCTCACAGATTAAACTCCAGATATAGGCTTGTGATGCATATGGGGAGAAATTAGGGGTCCAGATTAGTCTGCTGAGGGGCTCAGTGTGATCCTGATCCTGCTGACATGACTTGAGTTAATATAATATATCGAAGAATGTGTATATATTCCTGTTATTACAGCTCTGGTATAGAGAACTGCAACTATGCACTAACACCAAAGTAATCACTGTTGCTGTAAAATCCTGCATATTTGAAATGTGCTCTTTAGCTGCCAAACCTGTTACAAAAACACCGGAGTGACAACGAGGGACTGGATTTTCTGTAGTGGGTTTTATGAGGTATGTGCACTCAGTAGATGGCGACTGGTATGCTCCAAGTTATGGGAAACTGACAGGAGGAAGAGTAACGATGCTTAGCAAGGTACTGCAGTGGACAGGGGAGCAGCTAAACACGTTAGTCACGTAGAAAAGACAATTTAAGGTTAAATGCTATATTTAGATTTATTTTGCCGCCAGACTCCATTGGCTTCAGTTTCCTGTCGTAAAGTGGGAAAGATATTCTCGTTAGGGTTAGACAGACAGAGCAATGCTTCTTTACCAACCGCCATCTACTGTAGTTACACTTGCTATTAATTAGTAAGTTATACAAAACCCATTAAATAAATCCCAACTATCCGGCTCTGTCTCCACTCTGTCTCCCAACACAATGTATCTTGTTTTCAGCGCGAGGACACTGGCAGATGCAGAGTCTCTCATATGTGTTAAAGGAGCAAAAGAAGGTAACATTTATTTAACTAATATAAAGAGCACACTCCCTCTTCAGCACCTTCTTAGTTCTCTCACTGGAACCTCTAAACTGCACACTGACCTTTCAGTGGCTTTGGGTGCGTTAGATTTATATTTGTCTTGTTTACACTCCACAGTACAAACTGAGCTGATCTTTAATCATCCACAAAGATAGACATCCATTGTTAATCTTTTAGTAAACATAGTTGGATGATCTTATTCTCCACATATTTTTAGTTGAATTAATAGTTTGACATTTTGGGAAATATGCTTTTTTGCTTCTGGCAGTGAGATGAGTGTCGTTCATCTGATCAAAATGTCCAACTATTCATTTACAAGGTGAAGCACAACTTTGACCAACTATGCATCTCCGTTGTTTTAAAGGGCCAGTTCACTCAAATTAGAGGAAGGATTCCCATCCTCTTACTTACCCACCCATAAACCGTGAAGATCGAGTAAAAAAAAAAAAATGTAAGTTGTTTGTTTTGAATTTGGAAATTGCAACACAAAAAATAAACAACAAAATAGTGAATTTACAATCTCAACTTTAAGGTCACATGGACAAAACAATGTAAAAACAACCACGGGACAGACCCTAGATTTACTGTCAAGGTGGATTTAAAAAAAATCTAACATGTAGTAACTAGTAAGTGGTTTTATTAGAGCATCTTTCTCCTGGTTAGATTCATAAAGAGTGACCAGAAGACATAGTGCAGTTAGAGGAAGGAGAAATATATGTTTTTGGTAATAATTTGAGTGAACTGACCCTTTAAATGTTCACCTGCAGCTTTATAATCAATGCTCCACAAGAAGCCATACCGTGGGCGTTTCTTAATGTCGAGTAAAGCTGCTGCAGAGCCACTATTTCCACTACGCCATCGAGTAGCGCCGAAGGACTGTTTAAATGCCCAGCATTCGGCGCCACTCGATGGCGTAGTACACTTGAAATAGTGGCTCTGCAGCAGCAGGTTGACTCGACATTGAGAAACGGCCCCACTCTCTGAGCCACTTCTACAGATTTACCTCGGCAACATCACTCGGTTGCCTATAGTTACGGTGGTCGCCACATTTCTGTTTCTCCTTCTGAGGAAAACTTCATGAATCAATGCATGTTTAGGTTTATTTAAAACACTGATAAACATCATTTTAATTTCTGGTAAAACATGTGTTTCTAAAGAACGATGATGTCATGTTGTTTGTTTTACTTAATGATAATCTAAAACAGAATCGAGGCTATATTTTTGTTTTAAATTGAATTTGCCTATCCTGCTTCAAAATGTACCAATTAAAAACTCTTGTTTTAATTTTGCATTGTCATGTTTTACTCGAGTTAAAAGGAAACCGTTGAACCTGAAAACGAGGTAGAAACTAAACCACTCCAACAAATTTCAATTTTCTATAAGTATTTATTTTACATATACTACAGTTTTTCATAAAGACCACTTTTCTTGACATTTGTAGTGTAAAGGAAACAAAAGATGCACAGGGTTTTTGGCTTTTTAAACATTTTTGACGTTTGTTTATTAAAAAAAACGGATACCAAAACCCGGTTTATGAACGACTGGATTTATCTTTTGATTTAATCCACAAACTAAAAAGATATAACTGTCAAAATGCAAAGTTGATTTTCTCTCACCGTTTCAAGCTGGTTTGCATGCAGTGTTATAATTTAGGAGAGTAACTGAATAAAAAACCAAAATGCTACTTTTTCAGTCAAACAAATTGCACCTTTTTTCTTTTGGATTCAGGACATATTGCACGCGTCAGAAAAACAACAGATGAACGTCACACAGTGATCGAGACGCTCTGGTTTGATCACAGTAATAAACCCAGAACTGATGACCTAGCGTTACTCTGCTACACGAGATCCTAAAATACTTCAGATTGAGAAATCAACTAAATGCTACGGGTCTAACTCAGAAGGCTCGTCTGCAGATTTCCACGTGATTGTCTGATCCTCACTTATGACGACGAGTTTTTGCTTTTAAAAAACCCCTCACTGCGTTACCAAACAGAATTCTTTCGTGTAGCCCCTTCGGTTTTAAATCAAGCTAATGTAAAAGCAGGAGGAATTGCCATAATGCAGAATGATAGATACGATGTACATTTGGACACGACAGGGTGGTTTTTGGTGATTAGTCTAGCCAGAAACAAAACACACACATTGCAGATTTGTAACAGAAACAGGAGGAATACATTCTTTAATTGTTCCAGGTCCATGAAGCTGCAGGAGAGCGCAGTCCAGAGCAGATCTGTGTGAAGACGCTCAGTTACTCAAATCTGCACGCTTCCTACGAAACGTTTGGAAAAGTCTTTAGTGGGATGTTCATGACTTTGGAAGGATGATACATTCAGATTCAGGTCCAATCCAACTCTTTGTTTCTGCAGGATCTTCAATAACACTCGTCTCTTCTGCCGTTGGAAAATAAAAACGTCTTTCAGGACACAACGGCAGCTCGCTCTCACTCTCCTGTTAATGGCTTAGAATCCAGTGCACTGCTTCTGCAAATGAATACAGTTCTTATATATATATATTTATTTATATATCTTTACATCTTCAACCGTTATTCTCCTTGAAATAACTTGAGTGGAGGACACACAACGAGCACTGATGATGAGCTTTATGTTCAGATCCAGTTTGTCAATAAAGCTTTTTTCGATTCCTTTTATCTGCTGTTGGACAAAAGGGCTTTCTGTTGCTTCAGTAACACAGTCTTCATTTCTGGAGGCTACAGATGGCGCTTACAAAAAGGTTAACAACAGGTACATGAAGTAAAGCCTCTGGTGTTTGATGATAAAGCTTAAGGAGGTGAAGCTAAATGTTTCTGTTTGATGGATCGCTGCTGCAGGCACTGAGCACCACGGTGCGACAAATCAAATAAAATCACCACACAGAAACACCGTGGGATTCCTCATCGGATGATTTAAAGAGTTCCTTTTTGTTAACGTTGCTGCAAAAAGGAATAATCCGGACTTCTTTCAGCAGTGGATACGAGTCTCCGTGCTACACAGAGCTTCAGGAGCGCCGGCTGCCACAGTGACGTTACCGTGACGTTACCGTGACGATGAGCTACAGACACAGCCTGTAAAGTATCCACCCTCCCTGGAAATCATTGTTTTACAACTCCAGAGCACAAAGTGGCTTCAGTTTTTACACTGATCAACAGAAAACAACCATTTAATAAGGATGTTATTATTATTATTAATAGTTTATTGCGTTACTATTCAGCAAGTCCTTCGTTTCTGCACCTCTGACAGAAAATGTGCGGCGAAGCAACCACATGAATCTGCTCAGCTGCCAAATATAATAAAAAAAAAAAATGAGGTGTAGCAGACGTGGAGCTCGGTGGGATCTTGGGACAAATTCTGAGTTGAATAGGATCCGACCGCTGGAGTGAATAAAATAAATAGAGCACCTTCTTAAAATCAACTCACTTATATCCTTCTTCAATTAGCGTTTTATTTTTAAATCTAACAAAAATGAGGGAGTGTTAAATACCTTTTTATTAGACATCTTAGTTATGATAACTTATAATATTGTAAAGAAAAGTCAATTTGCATATTACGTTTAGTAATGGTATTGCTTCTCTAATCGACTGTCAGAGTAAATCATAAATAAGGTCGGATGATTCAATGAAGTCATTAGATTTTGTAGAGTTCCGACTAATCCTATTTTTCTGTTAATTAGTGTAAAATATAATGATGTAAAAACCAAAAATCCTTCCAGGGAGTTGATACTGTTCACGGCGCTGTGACACACACTGATCGACAGTCTGACCTCAGGTGTGTGTGTCCTGCTCGCAGCGCCTCACAGGACCAGCAGGGGTCAGGGTTTCTGTCAGCTGAGGGTCATGTGATCATCAGGGACCTGGCTACTCGATGCATAGTTTTGACGAGATGCTGACGAGATGCTGCGACCCGCCTCAAGGTCAAACGGCTGGAGAGGGAGAGGGGGAGGGGAGGGGTGACGTCATAAAACAAACGGGGTTCGGAGGCTCCTACGAGACGATCTCCAGGATGTAGAAGACGAGCTCCATGACGACGGGGCCCTCGCTCAGCTGGCAGGCCCCGCTGTGGATGACGGGGATCAGAGCGCTGTCCAGGTCGCTCAGGTACCGAGGGGGGAGGGGCTGCCCGTTACTGCCCGCCAGGTAACCCACCTGTTACCGTGACAACATGTTAGACTGGATCCTCGCTACACACTACTGTCAGCAAAACATCAAGATTCAATTGACATGGTCTCTGAAATCTTTAAGTTATTAGTATTTATGTCATATCTACGATTCCACAAAAAACGTGCTGCTTTTGTTCCTACGTTTTATTTACAGTCCAACTAAACACTACGATGATACACAATATAATAAGAGGTTCCCCACCTGGTCTGAGTCCAGCGTGACCCTCAGGCCCAGCTTGGCCATGCCGTCCTCCTTCAGCAGCTTCAGGTGGGGACACAGCGCCACGCAGAACGCCCTCGCCACGTTCTCCGTCAGCCGGCTGTGATCCGCCGGGTCGCTCAGACCGCTGGGCTGGTCCTCGCTCTGGAGGAAGAACACCTGAGAGGCACATCAAATCAAAAGGTCTTAATTAAAGGCCGTGTTTCTGTTTCTGACACTAACCGCTCCAATAGTACAGCAACAGAGACTAAAGTTATGACACATACATGTTACATAGGTATACTGCACATCATAGTGTATATATAGCATTACAAGCTTTAGGAGGGGGCTAGATTAGTACAGAACATTTTTTTTAAACAGTCGTAGAAACTGAGAGGCAGAACCGGTTTTAAATGAGGGCTGTGATTCTGTCTAACAATGTTTTTACTTTTCAACACAAACAGCAACAGAGACTAAAGTCATGACTGTAATCTTCTGAATGAAATCCTTGTTAAGTATACTGCACATCATATAGTGTATATATAGCACATTACACGCTTTAGGACAGTGGTTCCCAACCTGGGGGGCTCACAGACTCGCCTGCAGCGCCGTGCACACAGAGATCCGCAGGTGGAGAACAGAGCTCGATGTGGTCAATGCTCATTCGCCGTAAGTATTTTCGCGGAAACACGAGCAATCTGTCCACCCGCTGGTCAAAAGGCATCATATTCA